ATCAATATATTATAGGTCTCAGATATATGTCTCTGAAGTATTTGGCTCTAAATACCAAACAGATCATTGTAGCATTACCCATAATCCCCTCTGTTTCAGCCCTGTTTCAAAAGGGCTGATTCTCTGTCTGTTACTTAGATGAAAATAAGGAGCCCCTCCTCACGCCCCTCTGAGAGATATTTGGTTAAAAAGAACACAATGGTGCTCTAGGAGGAGATTCAGGTGATAAGGTGTGGGGGGGGGGGGNTTGGCTAACGGTTACACAAGCCAAAAAATCGTTATGACATCATAAAGTGGCCAAAATCTGATCAGCTCATTTTCAGACAAGTTTTTATAGAAATGGATCAGGACACAAAGAGAGGGGGTCTTTGTTACTGAGACTTTCAGAATCTCTTTAAACAGAGGGGTCACATGTTTATGTTTAAAAAAACATGAAAAAGTGGATTTTGCACAATAGGTGACCTTTAAGGCTGAAATCCAGCAGGGCTAGACATTTAAGTCAACATCAGCAATGACCACATACTCTCAGAGACAATAAAAATGTCCGATGATGAACACGTAACATGCTTACCATGTTCAGCTGCTTAGCTTATTTGAGCATGTGACTGTTCAGTACAGTATCTTATTCATTCTCATCAAGGGGAATAAAGAGGTGTGTGTGGCTGTTATTAGATGCATGTGTGTGAAGGTGTGGGTCCTCATGTCTGCCTTTTTAATTCTCAAGGAAAGACACCACCTCACCCCCCTGCTGAAATAGAGTCGAGAATAGGGGTTGAATGCGTGGCCACTGAGTAATTGTTTTCTCCAGATGTGATTGGAATAGCTTCACGCACATTTAATTAACGAGCCTTATTTTTCACACTTCCGCGTCTTAGGAAAACCATTATTCTTAAATAAGTTGTCACCTTTTGTCAAGTAGTAGCTTTGTCTCTACGGCCGCCGTATAGTTTAATTTTCCTGCCGTACTCAGATGTAAATTGAAAACTCATAGAGGTGTTGAACCACGTATGAGATAATGATATAATATAAAATCATTGGTGCTGGTTATGCTGCCTGAATTGCTAATGGAAGAATGAACTGTCAGTCAGGTGTAATCATTTGTATAGATGTTTTAATGTGGACATTAGGTCCTGACAAACCACTTCATTATTTGATAAGGAATATATCCGCTGATAGTCGATGTTGCTACACATTGTTGAGACTGACTGACGCTGAGTTATAAAATATCTGTAATAATTTAATAAAAACATACTGTACATTTAACAATTTGTCTTTTAATTATAGATACAAATACTTAATATCCTGCTTTTGCTGACTTTTAGAGGTTGAAAATGAACCCTCTATCACACAGATTTTGTCATGTCATTTTTGTTTATTCTGCAAATCTAAAAAAGCTTGAAAGCAAGTAAGACAACACTTCCATTTAATCTCATCATATTCTCAAACATATAAATAAGAAGAACAAAGCAATCCATATAAATGTATAAACATTGTTAAATATGCATTTATCCCTGAGCTAACGTCATGACTAATGCTTGCCGATGGTTTTATTAACACTAACACGCTTGTGAGTTTTCCATGTGCGCAGAAATTGTGACCATTACAGCGTCAATCGAAAAATGTGTCACTGTCAAATAAAACTCAAGAAATGCTCATAATGTATATACTTACAGTACATGCTTTCTATATACAAAAAAGGCAATTATTGCCTGCCAGTGGAGTCAGACCAACATGTTTCACTCTAGTTAAATAATGAAATACATATAAAGGTCGGACAGTGTTAATAAGTTGGGATGGTTATTTCAGTTTGCACCAATGACCAGCCAACAGCATATAAACCATTCGGTACGCTACCAGAAGCTGCTAGCCTTGTTGCTAATGACTTAAAGGTAAACTTAACCCCCAAGTTAACTTGTATATCAATTATTTCCATCAATTCACCTTTTCATTTGTGAATAAAACAATAGAAATGAAGTAAATGTGGGCCATGTTCAACAACATCCATTCACAACTGGATAATGAGACACAACGTATTCTAATCTATCCACTTATATTCTCACTACTTCCCACACACATGCATTTTCCTATAACCATGACTATTTAAAAAAGTACTGTCGTATAAACAGAGACTATGCACAGTATGATCCATAGATACTAGAGCTGGACTGTTGGGTGTGAAGCACTCTTGAAACACAGATGTAGGCTTGGATTTGTTTATAATTTAAACTCACTTACTTAAAGAGATCTGTTGTTTTCATGAAATAGATTATGCTATAATAATAATAATAATTAAGCTTTATTTATATAGCACTTTTCATACCACAAATGCAGCTCAAAGTGCTTTACAAAATGACACATCACAAGTTCAAATCAAACAACAAGAAATTCCCCTCAGATTTTTCGTTAAGAACTTTAAAAGGTACATTCAGCAAAATATAAAATGTTATCAGGTTAATAGATACAAGGAGGTGAAATGTATGATAATAAAACAAAATAAAATAAATAATGGTTTCTCTCTGACAGATAAGATAACTGAGTCGATGCAACAATATAAAACCCCATAAAACAAAGTGAACATATAGGTACAACATAAATAAAAAGATTAAGACCTATAAAATAAATAAAACAATATAAAGGCAGGTAAATAATAAAGACTAAAATAACATAATAAAAAGCTAATCTAAAAAGATGTGTCTTTAGCTGTCGTTCAAAAATGTCCACTCTGATGTTTATTTCTTGAATGTTTCTGATCTCAGAGTCTCTAGATGTCTGAAATGTTTCCTCCCCTCCTCAGGATGAGAGCAGAGTGAAGGTGACGGTGATGGAGGTGCAGCCGGTGGACCACAGGGAGTTCAGCCGGAGACTCCTCAGCAACATCCGGAGATTGTCCAGCTGAACCCGGTCCCAGTCATCTGAAAGCTGCCCGGTGATTAAACTCTTCTTCCACCGGTCTCTGACTGGTGTCCGCCGCTTCCCTCCAGCCAGATAACAGCCTATCTGAGACAGCAGAGGGCCGGTGATTCATCGCGTTAAATGGCAGCCAAACAAAAGATTGATATTTAGTTGCTCACTTCCCTCAGCGAGCCATTTGTGAAACACTGCAAATGGCATGGGGATGACTTTTACCTTTTCTTTATTCAATGATATTTTAACAAAGAGCTTTGACTTTCTGATTATGCATAACTGTGTTCTAGACCTGCTTACATTTGTATCATGTTTCATGAGTATCAAACACGGTAAGTTTGAAGAGTTTTCTCTGTTTTATACCAATGATTCATCTCTTTGGTTTCCAATCTGTGGCTCAGTGTGCGTTGAGTGAGATTTTATTTGATTTTCATTGTTCCGTTTTAAACCATGGCAAAAGTGTGTGGGTGTTGGCATTTGTTTCAACTTACAGCGTGTAATTATTGTTAAAATTATCCTTAGAAGTTTAAGAAAAGAATTTTGAGTGGTTCTGCACATCCTAGATATGTCAAAGAAAAAGTGATCAATTATGTCAAAAATAATCTCTCATCATTTGTTATAAAAAGGTTTTGATTTCCTTAAATCTCCCTTACCCTCATGTTTTATCTTTTGAATTTCTGTGTAAAAATAAAAAAGAATGCTGTTTTCAACCAGACATTACTACAGAACACAGAGCTGCAGCAAGCTGTACAACATTAGCTCGAAGGCTAATTTCCTAAGGGATAGATTTTTGGCAAAATCAACATTAATTAATTTATTTTTCAATTAATATTCCTTCAATTTCCTGCCGCTTTACCTGATCCAGGCCGTGTTTTAAATTGGTTTAAACAGTATTTTAATTAATTGTATCATTACGATTTATGTTATATATTGCTAGGAAGTACTAGAACATTTGATATGATAAATAATTGTAGGTCTCATCAATCAGGAATGTGACTTCCATTGGATGCAGCAAACATATTTGTTTCACATTGAACTAGAACTCAGTTTGAAATTAAATGTAACAATATATCGAATATCAAAATAATGTTTTGTGCTTTTTGGTGCTTCCTCTCCTCAGGTGTGGCTGAAGGGCACTGGTGTATGCACCATCATAACCATCTCCGACCCAACTGTGTGTGGGGGAGCTTTGGGAGATTAAACACACACACACACACACACACACACACACACACACACACACACACACACACACACACACACACACTACTACTACGTACTTACCCGATCCTTCCTACCCAGCTTGACCTTTACCTAAATGTTTTCTTCTAATCATGATTTGTTTTTAAGGAAAACCCAACCAGTTTTAAAGAATCCAACACAGTGGCCTCTCACAGTGATTCCTAAACAAGGCCCAGGGTTTTAAAAGGGGGCGGGGCGGGGGGTTAAATATAAATGTTTTAGGTTTCTTTTCTGCAGACAAATTCAGAATCCGAGATATTTGTTGTAAAGGCTGATCTGAAAGTGTGTGGTTATCTGAGTGATAAACAAACTGCATTTTAAACCATGTGAAACATATATATTGAATTTAGGGAATGATTAATGGGTCACTGATAAACAAACGGAGATGGTGTCAATCAATTTGAAAGGGTAGCATTTCAGATGACATTTGAGGTTTGCTTTACTCTGAAACCCTGCCGGACTTCTCTTTTAAATGTTCTGGCATAAGCAGGTGCAGCGAGTGTGTTCTGCTCAGCAAATATCAAAAGGGAAATGTAAGATCAGAAAGTCATTTCCAACTTAAAGCCTCGCTGGTGATTGAGACTTAAGATGGACTGACATCAGCTTGCAGCCCCAAGGCATTGTGGGACGGAGGAGGACACAGTGGAGAGATTAAGAAAAATACTTTGCATTGCCCTCAGAGAACTTTATCTGACTGTGACGTGCTGAGCAGAAGGGAACTGAATTGCGGGTGAGGTTGTCATATCTCCTGTCTGGGGACGTGGGGCCTTCAGTGGTGAATATGCAGTGTGTCTCTATCTGCAGAATGTGTGTAAGGGTACAAGGACGCTGAATGGAAATGAGCTGCAGTTCTCACGGAGGTCGTAGCCCTGATCACAGTCTGTAAGGCTGCAGTCTTATCTTAAAACGCTGTAGTTCAGTATAGCCCCGTGTGTGTGTGTGTGTGTGTGTGTGTGTGTGTGTGTGTGTGTGTGTGTGTGTGTGTGTGTGTGTGTGTGTGTGTGTGTGTGTGTGTTTTTGCATGGACCACCATTCTCCAGTATTGGAGCCTTTGATGTACTGCATGCACTCACACGACGCCTTCGTTTAGTTATTGTCAACATATGGCAACGACATAAACGTTCATATTTTATTTGGATATTCAAACAAATATGTGAACATAAAATAGCTTCAGGGGTCGGGTTTCATTTCGTGAAAAATAACTAAACTCAACAAGTGTACACAGCACCTCGTAAACTATCTACATGTTATGCTTTGATTTGCATTACTTAAAATAAGAATGAATTCCCTGTCAGAAAAAGTCACCACGTGTTCCCCAAAGCTCTGTGAAGGTGTGCAAACATCGTCTTACAGAATATGATAGACAGTTGACTGACATTCAAAGTGTTATCAAGGACACTTCACTCTCTTAAGGGTATTTATAAGCTCTTTTCTAAGTTAAATGTAAATGATGGCAGTTAGAAAGCGCTCTGGAGGCAGCGCAGGTGTTCTGCAGGAGCTTTCATGCATGGCAGGAGGCCGGAGGTTCAGATTTCTCGCTCTAAACTTTCCTCTCTTGTAGGAAGCGGTTCTTTTGTGCAGCCCTCCCTTCTTACCTCCTTCCACTCTTTACATCAATAACTCAATCCTGCTTCCATTATTCTCTTCATCTGTCTTTCCCTGTCCACCTACAGTATCTGTTGTTTTTTTCACGCACTGTGTCCACCAGCATCATCCTCATTTCTCTCTGAGCAGCTCATCGATTTCCTACACCTCTCATCGTCTCTCGTCTTAGTTCCTCTGCTACCCACCACCAGTTAAATAAACCTTCCCTATTGCCCTCTCTCTGCACCACAAGCACATTGGCTTGAGGGCGTTTGTGTATGTTTTTTTCTGCTCCACTTGGAGAGCCAGAGGCAAAGCCAACACCAAGGCCAGCATGCACTGTGCACGCCATGTGCCTGTACTTGTGCATGATAACGCCACGCAGATGGGAAGATTTCCAACTGCCAGTTTATAAAGCTGGAACACGAGTGGAGCTACACGATGGAGCATATCTTTAATGGTGAAGTAATGACATAATGTTCACATTCTGGGTCTATCCCAGTATATTCTGAATAACTTGTGAATTCAATTGACGTGATGTCCAGCAACACAATGCTTTGTGCGCCTGTGCAATGCAGAACCTGTTTATGTAACAAAACTACTTGGTTTGGTTTAGGAAAAGTTCATGATTAAGTTAAACAGAATTATGGAACTGGCGTAACTAAGGCATAGAAGTTTTAAATAAGTGTTTCATGAAGGAAATGAGCAGCAGTGAATGTCCTGTTTTCCTCAGTTCAAAGAGGCATTTAAAAAATAACAACGCAGCTTCAATTAATAACCTAATCTCCAAGTAAAATATAGTTTTCTTATTTTATTTGAAAGACATGTTTTGCTTTTCACCCACGCGGTCCATAACAGTGGATCACTCAGCACATGGTAAAATGCAATAATTGAATACCCATTCAACTTTTTGGTAAGTTAATTCTATTGGGACTCAGATTAGTCTTCCTTTAAGTTAATGATCTCCTAACAATGCCTCCCAGCAACACTCAGTGATAGGAGCTTGTTGCACTTAAGATGTCAGTGAAGAGAGCAAGAGAGTCACTCAACAAAAAGAAACAGAATGAGAGAAATGTTGTCGAATAAAACTCTCTATTACATTTCATTTTTGTTCTGTTGTTTCTGTCTCGATGGACAAATTGTGGGCTCTGAAGAGTCGACGGTGCAGAGTGCTCATGCTGTGGCAGCTGACATTTGGATATTTCATTGCTGGAGGCATGTGGCACAATTGAAGTTGGGAACGGTGTGATTATGAGAAATATATTACCAGAACGTGGCAGCAGCTCACGCCAGTCATCATCAATCAAATTAGAGTTTCTTTTACTTTCCTTCTCTCTGCTTCATGGAGCTCAGGCTGTGATGGAGAGCAGTTGGAAGTGGCTTCTCTCAAGAGGAAACTCATGTCTTTTTGTGGGAGGTGCAGAATTGCCGCCAGTGAATGTGTGGCACCTTTAATTAAATTAGCCTAGATAATACATTAATGCATGTTGTGGGACATCGTTATGCAACGCAAGACACAGTGTGATGGTTTATAGGCAAACTAATGAGGACAGAAACCAGCCAGGATGATTGTTATCACAGTCCACGTTTAAAGTTGCACTTTGACAGATGAAGCTACTAGGATAAATGTCCAATGACGTTTCAGTTTTTGTTTCTATTGTAGGCCAATATGGTTTTCAGTTTCACATGCGGAGCTTTTTGAATTTTTAATGGGTACTTGCCTGCGGCTTGATTCTTCTTTATTTCTTCTTATTTCTATATTTTAGACCCCAGGAAGACTATTGACCATTTTGTGGAAGAAAGTGGTGATCCAAATAAAAAATAAAGAATATGCTAAGGACCTTTAAAGTTGTCCTTCTGGCTGCACACGTGCCCATTATGTTGTTTTTCTTAAACCCACCATATGTTCATGTACATAATACTTTGTAAAAACCACAAAGTACTACAGAAAAAAATCCTGCATGCTGTCACGACATCCCCTCGGTGTGCAGCAGATGGGTGACGCAGGGACAAATACCTGTGATACATGGCATTATAATTGCGCTGCCACTCATGATTTCTCCTGCCTCGGCTGTTCAGTCACCTCTCCCCACTTAAGGTACAGTACATCTCTCAGCCATTCAACAGGATGCATAGGTTCCGAAAACAACCTGTTCACTTATATTTACAGCACACGGTAGAACCGAACAGAACGTCCCTTTACTAGAGCAAAGCATAGTAGGCCTACATGCTGCTTGTTCTTTGATGGAGGTTTTTCTGTGAAATAGCTACGCGCTGCCTAACAAAACTTTTTAGCTGCTTTAAAAAAAAAGATCTGTGTGATGCCATTTCACCCAGTTACATAAACAAAAACACATACGTCCACAACTGAGCAACCAAAACCAAATTGCTTTCAATATTGAAATTTTTACGTTACACTGAAGGCAATAATTAAACAGTGCTGTTCTGAATTTTAAATGAACTGAGGCTAAACTTATCTAAATGAACACACTTTGCATGGATGTACAGCTCAGTAATACACTGCTCAAACATTTATAATTACAGCAAAGGACAGATAGATATTTCACATTTTCAAAGCAAACTAATGGTTTACAGTCTATACGGATTCATAAGAATACGTTTCTGTTTCATAGTTTCGATAAGCTTTAAAGGTAGGGTAGGTAAGAATGGAGAAACAGCTTGAGTGCGCTAGAACTTGAAAGTACACGACCGAAAAAAATCTGCCCCTTAATTCAGACTTCCTTACAAAGCCCCTCCTCCAACACACACAAACGCGCACATGACCAATGAGGGCACGAGATAGGTTTGTGCACAGAT